ACGCGGATGGAGAGAGGAGGGATCTACATTCGTATACATGTTTTCATACATGCATAACCATGGCAAGGCATGCGTATACAGAGAGAGGGAGAGAGAGAGGAACAACCAAACAAGAGGGATATATATATATATATATATATAAAGAGAAAACGAGAGAGAGAGAGAGAGAGAGAGAGAGAACAAGCATAAACAAGAAGAGAGGGAGAGAGAGAGAGAGAACAAAAACACAAACATGAGAGGGGAAAGGAAGTCGAGCAGAAAGAGGCCGAGCAGGAGGACGAGGAGCAGCAGGAGCGAGGAGCGTGCCCAAGGAGGACGAGAAGCACGACGAAGAGGACGAGCACTAGGGCGCCGGCGGGGCACATGAACGACACCCTGATCTCCTCGCGCACCACTTGCCGAACGGCGTCGTCCTCTCGGGCGTGCTAGGAAGCAGCTCCTGGGAGGTCTTCGTAAGAACAACTGAGAGCTAGTAAGTCCGATTTGCGGGCAACGAAGCCGAATTAGAATGAGGCCAGATGCAAAAAAACAATTGGGCTGTCCCAGAGTAGGCTGGTTTTCGACCACGGATCTGCCCGCGCCGATGAGATGAACCAGACCTCCCAGGAGTTGCATCCTAAGGTGTGTGTGTGTGTATCTGTGTTTGAGGAGGAGGAGGAGGAGGAGGAGGAGGAGGAGGAGGAGGAGGAGGAGGAGGAGGAACAGGAGGAGGGGTCCCTCGAGAGAGAGAGAGAGAAAGTCGACGGCGGGCCCTGGGGGGGAAGCTGAGAGGGGGCGGGCCATCTCAGACGGCTCGGAAGTGCCCTGGCCTTCTGGGAAGTTTTCTAAGCCTTCCCCGAAGACGCGGACAAAAACTTCTCAGAAGGCGCGAGGGCTGCTGAGAAGTCCCGTCGCCTTCGGAGAAGGCCTTCTCCTTCTCGCTTCCCCCCTCGCTCGCCGCCGAAAGGTGCGTGTGTGTGTGTGATTGTGTGTGTGGGTGTGCGCGTGCGTGTGCGTGTGCGTGTGCGTGTGCGTGTGCGTGTGCGTGTGTGTGTGTGTGTGTGAGTGTGAGTGTGAGTGTGAGTGTGAGTGTGAGTGTGTGTGAGTGTGAGTGTGAGTGTGAGTGTGTGTGTGTGAGTGTGAGTGTGTGCGAGTGTGAGTGTGAGTGTGAGTGTGAGAGTGTGTGTGTGTGTGTGCGTGCGGGGGGAGCCCTCGAGAGAGAGAGAGACTGATAGAGAGAGAGAGAGATGGAACAACAAACAAATGTGATCGAAAAACGAAGATCGATCGAGGGTGGGGGATCATCGTTGGCTTGGGGCCTCCCGGGGCGCCCTGGCGGCCTCAGCTGGGCTATCCTGGCGATGCTGATCAGGACGTGCACGCCAGTCGGAAGACTTAGCTAGAAGCATGAAGTAGGAAAGCGGATCAAATAGATTGGGTTCGGGCCCGCCCGAATAATAACAAAGACCAGCCAAACCAGATCGGCTCTTGAGGTAAGAAGGCGCTCGAAGTAGATTGGGTTCTAGAAATCCAGAAATATCTGCTTTCAACGACGGATGGGTACCCTTGGATCTGGCCATCGCTCGGACGTCCATTTCCTGTGTTTTTGTTCCCCACATGCTTCGTGGGGTTCTGGTTTTCTTCCCTACCGCGCCGCACCCGCGTCTCCTCACACCTCCCCTCCTCTCTCTTTCTTCCTCCCCTCACTCACACACACACACACTTCACTCTTCCCCCCCTCGTCACAGCACTGCTCAGCTCAGCTCAACTCACCTCATCACAGCACAGCTCAGCTCAGCACAGCTCGGCTCAGTTCAGCACAGCTCAGCACGGCCCAGCACGGCTCAGCTCAGCACAGCACAGCTCGTGGCACTTTCTCGACACCACAGGGGGTGCGCAGGGGGTGGTCTCTCAGCTCGGCCGCTATCCACGACACCGGCGCAAAGCCTAGCAGGCGTGGCACCCTCTCGACACCAAAGGGGGTGGGCAGGGGGTGGTCTCTCAGCTCGGCCGCTATCCACGACACTGGCGCAAAGCCTAGCAGGCGTGGCACTTTCTCGACACCACAGGGGGTGCGCAGGGGGTGGTCTCTCACCGCGGTCCCTATCCACGACACTGGCGCAAAGCCTAGCAGGCGTGGCACTTCTCGACACCAAAGGGGGTGGCAGGGGGTGGTCTCTCAGCTCGGCCGCTATCCACGACACTGGCGCAAAGCCTAGCAGGCGTGGCACTTTCTCGACACCACAGGGGGTGCGCAGGGGGTGGTCTCTCAGCTCGGCCGCTATCCACGACACTGGCGCAAAGCCTAGCAAGCGTGGCACTTTCTCGACACCACAGGGGGTGCGCAGGGGGTGGTCTCTCAGCTCGGCCGCTATCCACGACACTGGCGCAAAGCCTAGCACGCAGGGGGTGGGGGGGTGGTCTCTCAGCTCGGCCGCTATCAAAGCCTAGCAGGCGTGGCACTTTCTCGACACCACAGGGGGTGGGCAGGGGGTGGTCTCTCAGCTCGGCCGCTATCCACGACACTGGCGCAAAGGCTAGCAGGCGTGGCACTTTCTCGACACCACAGGGGGTGCGGAGGGGGTGGTCTCTCAGCTCGGCCGCTATCCACGACACTGGCGCAAAGCCTAGCAAGCGTGGCACTTTCTCGACACCACAGGGGGTGCGCAGGGGGTGGTCTCTCAGCTCGGTCGCTATCCACGACACTGTCGCAAAGCCTAGTAGGCGTGGCACTTTCTCGACACCACAGGGGGTGCGCAGGGGGTGGTCTCTCAGTTCGGCCGCTATCCACGACACTGGCGCAAAGCCTAGCAGGCGTGGCACTTTCTCGACACCAAAGGGGGTTGGCAGGGGGTGGCCTCTCAGCTCGGCCGCTATCCACGACACTGGCGCAAAGCCTAGCAGGCGTGGCACTTTCTCGGCACCACAAGGGGTGCGCAGGGGGTGGTCTCTCAGCTCGGCCGCTATCCACGACACTGGCGCAAAGCCTAGCAGGCGTGGCACTTTCTCGACACCACAGGGGGTGCGCAGGGGGTGGTCTCTCAGCTCGGCCGCTATCCACGACACTGGCGCAAAGCCTAGCAGGCGTGGCACTTTCTCGACACCACAGGGGGTGCGCAGGGGGTGGTCTCTCAGCTCGGCCGCTATCCACGACACTGGCGCAAACCTAGCAAGCGTGGCACTTTCTCGACACCACAGGGGGTGCGCAGGGGGTCGTCTCTCAGCTCGGTCGCTATGCACGACACTGGCGCAAAGCCTAGCAGGCGTGGCACTTTCTCGACACCACAAGGGGGTGCGCAGGGGGTGGTCTCTCAGCTCGGCCGCTATCCACGACACTGTCGCAAAACCTAGCAGGCGTGGCACTTTCGCGGCACCACAGGGGGTGCGCAGGGGGTGGTTTCTCAGCTCGGCCGCCATCCACGACACTGGCGCAAAGCCTAGCAGGCGTGGCACTTTCTCGACACCAAAGGGGGTGGGCAGGGGGTGGTCTCTCAGCTCGGCCGCTATCCACGACACTGGCGCAAAGCTTTGCAGCCGTGGCACTTTCTCGACACCACTTTCTTGACACCACCGTGACATTTGGCGTTGGATGACCCATACGGAACATTCGCGACGAGGGCTCAGAACGCAGGATTGTGCATATATATATTATATACATGAGCAAACACATAAGATTTAAACTAAGTATGTGGGGTTCTTCGGTAGCGTAATTCGGTTTCGTGCGTGGCTTTTGCGCCAAATGATCGAGGATGCTCTTCGATGGTCCTCGCCGACAAAAAGATGCACACGTCCGAGCGATGCCAGGTGGATAGGTCTGGGGTGCGATGTTTGACCCCGAGCCCCCTCTGTGTGCCTACGCCTGTCGACCAGCTCTCCTGCGCGGGGCCCTCGTCTTGAAGATAGAGCGCTGCGGTCTCCACTCCTTCCCCCGCCCGCCCGCCTCCTCCCTCCTGCCTCCTGCCTCCCGCCGTCCGCTTCCGGCCTCTTCCTTCCTGCATCCTACAGCCGGAGCGTTGACCTGAGGAACACAAAACAAGGAACGAGGCCTCTTTTTCCTATAATTTAAGGTTCGATTTTCCATGGGAAACCTCAGGAAAACCTGAGACAAACTGTGAAACAGTCAAGGAACACCGAGCCCCTCCCCAACGAAAAGTGTTCCTTCTTCAGCGCCCCGACTGTACTCCTTCCTCCCTCATACTTCCCCGCGGGCTCCAGGGAGGCACGGCGGAGTTAGGGGAGCAAACGCACCCAGGCGGGACCTCGCAGCTCCCTGGGAGGCTGCGGACGCCACACCTGTCGCCACTTTCGTGGGCTCCTGGGAGGCACGGCAGGGTCGGGGACCTGCGAAACTTGGGCGCCCGAGTTATCCGGGGTAACTCGGGTCCGGGGTAACGCGGGTTTGGATTCCCGAAAAACGAACCCGAGTTAGCCCTGACCCGAGTTACCCCTGATGATTTGGGGTTCTGGGCGCCCGAGTTATCCGGGGTAACTCGGGCCCGGGGCAACTCGGGTTCGGAATCCCGAAAAGCGAACCCGAGTTAGCCCTGACCCGAGTTACCCCTGATGATTCGGGGCTCTGGGGAACTGTGGCCACTTTCGTGGCCTCCTGAGAGGGACGGCGGGGTCGGGGAGTACGCGGGCCCAGTTAAGACCTCGCAACTCCTTGGGTGACCGCGAACTGCGCACCTGTCGCCACTGCCGTGGGCTCCTGGAAAGCACAGCGGAGTAGAGGCGTACGCGCACCCAGACAAGGCCGCGCAGCTCCACGGGGGTCTGCGAACTGCGCACTTGTCGCCACTGCCGTGGACTCCTGGGAAGCACGGCGGAGTAGGGGAGTATGCGGACCCAAGCGAGACCTCGCAGTTCCGAAGGTGGCTGCGAACTGCGCACCCGTGGCAACTTTCGTGGGCTCCTGGGAGGCACGGCAGAGTAAGGGAGTACGCTGACCCACCCGAGACCTCGCATCTACCTGGGTGGCTGGGATCGAGGATGATAATGTTGTTGATGATGGTGATGATGTGATGATCTCATCGGGGCTTTCGGGCCGGCACGAGCTCCTTTCGATGATCCGCCGAACGTGCGTTAGCGCCAGCGTGTGTTTGCCCGCTGAGGCCCTTCCCTGCGACGAAGGCGACGTGATGACCGACTGGCTGGGTTGAACGGGGCAAACACACATTGGGCCAACGCACGTCCTGAGGATCGTCGATCCTCCCTCCCGCGAGAGAGCTCTTTCGCCCTCGGCGGGGCTTCCGCGCTGGCGCGGGCTCGTCTTCGCTCTCCGCGCGGCGCGCGCTCCGCTCTGCGAACCTCCCGGCGCGCGGAGGCCACGCTACGGCCGCGCCTCGAGGCCGAGCCTCCCGCCTCGGGAGGCTTTCCGCGGGGGCTCCCGCCCCTCCGAGCTCAGGTCGGGCACGTCGGGATCCTGGACGAAACCTTACAGATAGCCCAACAGTGCTCCCGAATGGTGAAACATAGTCAGGCCAAAATCGCTCCCAGACTATCTGTGGACTACTTGTTCTGGAGATTCGGTTCCCTCCTGTGGAGGGAGGGAGGGACATGCCCGACCTAACTCCAGGCCTGGGCGTCGAGCCTTCGAGCCTGGAGCTCTCCAAGCCCGCCACAGGGCCGGCCCAAGCGGTGCCGCGCGCCTACAGCACGCGCCGCATCGGGCCGACCTTCGCGTGCCTGGGCGGCCGTCTGCCGCCGCGTCGGCGCTGGGCTTTCTGCAGCCTCTGCGCCTCCGCCTTCATGGTCTTGAGCGTGCCCCTGGCGGAGCCGATGGCAATGTTGTAGGTCACCATGTCGGGCTCCAGCGTGTGCTGGTGCATGTCGTCCAGGAGCTTCAGGGCCTTCACCAGCTGCCCGCAGCGGTCGCAGGCGCTCACGGCCCCTCCGTAGGCCTGGCTGCCCGGAGGCACAGCCTGCGCGCGCATCTGGTGCAGCAGGTCCAGCGCGCGCTCCCACTGCCTGCCTAGGTCGCAGGCTCGGATGACCGTCGTGTAGGCGTCCACGCCGGGTGGCAGCGACAGCCGCTGCATGTCGTGCAGGTGGCCGAGGGCGAGCTCCCAGTCCCTCTCCGACACGAGGAAGCCGGCCTCCGCGGCGACCCTCTTGGCCGTGGCGTCGGCCTCGCCCGCCTCCCGCGCGTCCCCGTCCAGGTGCCGGGGGCCTCCCCACTCGGGCCACGTGGCCGCCTGGGCGGCCCTGCGCGCGGCCCGCTGCCGCGCGGCCAGGTCCTTGTCCACGGCGACTGGCTGCGCCTGGATCTGCTCACTCGGCGCCTCGTCGGGCGCCACGCCGGGCTTGGAGCTGAGGGCACCCCGCAGCATGAGGCCAATCGCCGCGATGTACTCCTCGCGCTGGAGGCCCTCGTCCTGCGAGGTCTGGCCGGCAAGCAGGTGCAGGGACCGCTGCCACAACCCCGCGGCGTCACAGACCTTGCCGGCAGCACTGGAGATCGACGCCATCGTGTCCGGCCGAAGGGAAAAGAGAGACGCGTCTTTCAGCGCCGCCAGCGCCAGCTTCCAGCGCTGGCTCGAGCCCACCAGGCGGCAGGGGTCCAATTCGCCCGGGGCGGCGCCGAAGCGGCTGCGCGCGTCCGCGAGGAGCCGGAGGGACGTGTGCCACCCCTGGCCCTGTCCGCCGGCGTATGCAACTGGGTCCAGCGCAGCTGCCCCAGGCTGCAAGGACAAGCTTCGCGCCCGCGTCAGCAGGTGCAGAGCCCCATCCCAAAGGCGGACGTGCGCACCCACCTTCATCGCCCGCGTGAACGAGGTCAGGTCCCGCGAGATGTCCTCGCTGCATGCCTGTTCGAAGATGTCCAGCGAGCTTTCCCACTTCACGGCCTGGGCCAGGGACATCGCGGAGTTGTAGTGGGTGACGTCGGGCCGCAGGGCGTCCCCCTTCATCGCCTGCAGCATGGCAACCGCCTGTTGTGCAGCGGCCTCCGACTCGCGCGGGGAGATCCCCAGCGATATGGCGGCACCGCATGTGCTCATCACGACGAGCACGGTGGCCGCAGTTGGCTCGTGGCCCCGATCCCTCATCTCGCGCAGCAGTTGCAGGGCGTTCTGCCACGCTGCACCCTCCAGGCAAGCATCGAGTGCGCGCAGATAACTCTGGCAATCCCACGAGATGCTCTGAGTCTGCATCTGCTCCAGCAGCTGCAGGACGTGCCGCCAACCCTCCTCGCTTGTGCAAACCCTCGCGGCGCAGTGGTACACGATGCGGTCGCGCTCGACTGCAGCGCGGCCCATCTCCGCCAAGAGCTCTAACGCGACCCTCCACGCTCCAGGCGCGTGGCACCCGCGCATCATGTTCACGTACACGATCTGGTTGGGAGCGATGCTGGAAGCCCTGGCCTGCCAGAACAGACCCAGGGCACGCTGCCACTCGCCGCCCGTCGCGCAGGCGCCGATGGCAACGCTGATGGACACCACGTCCCTCTCCAGCCTGAAGTGCTCCATGCTGGCTAACAGCGCCAACGCTGCCACCCACTCCCCCTGGCAGGATCAATCAACATCGGATCGGGACATCGGATCGAACCGGAACGTGAGTCGGGCTGGGCTGCATCCATCGGCACGGAGTCGGACCCGAATCGAATCGGCCGCACGAAGTGCACAACAACGCCAAGCAAACATCGGGCCGCATCGGATCGCCAGGACATCGGAAAACGAAGCAGATCGGGCTGGCCGGAACCGACATCGAATCGGATCACTCGGGCCGAAGTGCGCCATGCCTGGCAGGCTGCGATGGTGGCGTGGAGCTCCGCCTGCTGCGTGAACTGGCGCGCGTCGCGCCTGCGGCTCAGCTCGTCGAGCGACCGCTGCCAGGCGTGGGACTCCTGCAGCACGCGCAGGACGACGGAGCTGGCAGCCTCGCGGTAGCCGACGCTGCTGCGCTGTAGCTCCGCCCTGACGGAGCCCGCCGCGGCTCTCCGCTGCATCTTCCTGACGCAGATCGGGCACCGCGGCTGCCGCGGTTTGGGGGCGTGCCGGGCCCTTGCACTCTCTTTGCGGTCCGTTCGACCTCTTGCAAAGCAACGGGCGACCCCCCCCCCCACCGACGCATCGAGCCAATCGTGCGCTCCTCTTTAGGGGGGCCAACCCCTGCGCTTTCCGCAAACTGGCCATCGCTCGGACGTCCATTCCCTGTGTTTTTTTCGGCTTCGTGCGTGGCTTTTTCGCAGGATGATCCAGGATGCTCCTGAATAATCCCGCGGAGGAAAAGTGCACACGTCCGAGCGACACCAAGGCAAATCCCGACCCGGAGTGGTGCCAAAATCGGAGCCGTGGCACCTCCGCCCTCGGCCCCAGCGCCCGCCACGGGGGGCCCCCCTGCGGCCGCCCGAGGAGCGCAGGTGGCGGAGTCGCGCGGCAGCGCAACCGGATGTTGACCAACTGTGAGCAGTCGCTGCCTCTAGGTGGCGGCTTCAGGTGCTCAAAGTGCTGAATTACGCTGTGGATGACCGCGGTGGAGCTCAACGTGAGCCGGCGGTACACGCGGGGTTCCACGGGGTATCGGGCCACGAATGCTTCCACTCCCTGCCTCAATCGCTCAGGGGACTCGAACAAGCCCCGCCCTTGGCCACTTCCGTCTTGGAAACACGGGCACATTCTGCACTGTCTCTTGTAAGCGAAATTTAATGCGTACCCGCATTGGGGACATATCCAATTATCCGCAACATATTCATCTGGATGGATGAATGCACCAGGTGTCTGCGAAGGCATGAGCAGGGATATTGCTCGGGCCCAACCACCGGGCCAACTCGTAACCTGTATGGCGCTCGTGCGAGAGGCTAAGCTGATCTCCATCCCGAGCGCCGCCATGGTGGAAAGCAGGGACAGGGAGCTCTCCCAGCCACCGGTGTCCCCGCTGCAAGCGCTCATCACAGAGGTGCAGACTTCGGTGTTCAGCTCTATGGACACGGTCCGCGCCCTCAACAGCAAACCCAGGGCGCTGGGCCAGCTGCAGGAACTCGTCGCGGAGCTGCAGCTGAAAGCGTCCAGCTCCAGCCCCCTGCACGCAGATGCCACCATGATGCTCAGCGCCCGCGACCACACCCCGCCTCGCTTGCAGCTCGTGGACGCCCTATTGAAGCAGTGGATGTCGGGCTCGAGCCCTGTCAGCAGCGCCCTGCCCAGCATGTCGAGGACCTGCGCCCATACGCTGCCAGGACAGAGCGACATCACCGTGCCGAGGTCCAAGCTCGGCTCCACCCTCCCACGGCGCACCTCCTCTTTGGACGACCGACATGGATACGGAGAGAGTGGGTACGATGCCCAACAAGAAACGTTGTCCCAAACCGACAGCGGCCGCTGTTGGTCAGGCGGCCTCCTGTCCCATATGGACAACGATGACAACGACCGCGACCTCGCCAACAACGAACCCAGTTCATAATGAACAAGAGCTGCTGTTGGATTTTTGGGGAAACCCAAAGGTAGCCGATACCGCTACTCCCTGGACCGGGATGCGTTCCGACCAGACTTTCGAAGCGAATCCAGCGGTGGCGACGAGGGCCTCCCAGGAGGCCCTAAAAGGGGAAATCGAGGGCAGGGTAGCGGTATGGGTACCCCTTCCTCCTCTGAACTTTGTACCCGTTTAGAAAGCACGCCATAAACAGAAATGTTTGGCGCTCCGCGCGGATTTCTTGGACCTGCGCCGGAGCCCCCTCCCCGGGCGGCGCCGGAAGCGCCGCCGGGGGGCCCAGCGCGGATCCGAGAAATTCGCGCGGAGCGCCGAAAGCTTATGTTCATGGCGTGTTTTCCAGCGAGGAAAGGCTTCAAGTCTGACAGAAAAGATGCAACTTTCACGCCCGCTCCCCAACTGATGGGAAGGGGACTCCTTTCTGCTCTAGCCAGTCAGGGAGGAGGAGGAGGAGGAGGAGGAGGAGGAGGAGGAGGAGGAGGAGGAGGAGGAGAAGGAGGAGGACGACGACGACGCTGACGAGGACGCCGAAAGCTTATGTTGCGAGGCCTGGGAATGGGCACCAACACCAACCCAGGGGGTTTGCCGCCACAGGAGGGAGATGATCTCCTCGATCTCGGTGTTGGCGGTATAAGTGTTGGGCCACCCCGGAAGCCCGGGTCTTGCCACCATCTCCGAGATCGGAGGAGGAGGAGGAGGAGGAGGAGGAGGGGGAGGAGGAGAGGAGGAGAGGAGGAGGAGGAGGAGGAGGAGGAGAGGAGGAGGGGGAGGAGGGGAGGAGGGGGAGGAGGGGTTAGGAGGGGAGGGAGGAGGGGAAGGAGGAGGAGGAGGGGAAGGAGGAGGAAGAGGAGGAGGAGGAGGAGGAGGAGGAGGAGGGGAGCAGGGGGATGAGGGGGAGGGGGGAGGAGGGGGAGGGGAAGGAGGAGGAAGAGGAGGAGGTGGAGGAGGAGGAGGTGGCCTCCCGTGTGTGGCCCATTCCCTCCCTCGGTGCTGGGGTGGTGGGCCGCGTGGCCAGGGCGGTCTCCCACCCCCCCCCCCCCCCCGAGGGCGACACTTCGCGCGCCCTCCTCCTCCTCCTCCTCCTGCTGCTGCTGCTGCCCCTCCTCCTCCTGCTACCATGTGGACATCAGCGAATTCCAACGGATTCCTCCTCTTCCTCCTCCTCCTCCTCCTCCTCCTCCTCAACCTCAAGGCCTCCTCCTCCTCCTCCTCCTCAACCTCTAGGCCTCCTCCTCCTCAACCTCTAGGCCTCCTCCTACTCCTCCTCCTCCTGCTCCTCCTCCTCCTGCTCCTCCTCCTCCTCATCATCATCATCATCAAACTCTAGGCCTCCCTTGTTTCCGCACCCGCCCCGCTCGTGCCAGCTCCTCCAGCATGCGCACGGCGTCGACCCACTGGTCGCCCTGGCGCACGGCCGGCGGGGCCCCGGGGCGCTGGAGGCCCGCGGCGGCGCCGCCGGCCCGCCGCCGCGGCGCCCGGGGCCACTCCTGCGAAGGGGCCCCCAGGGACACACACACACACACACGCACACACACGCACGCACACGCACGCACACGCACACACACACACACACACGCACTTACACGCACACGCACACGCACACGCACACGCACACGCACTCGCACACGCACGCGCACACGCACACGCACACCCGCACCCGCACACGCACACCCGCACACGCACACCCGCACACGCACACCCGCACACGCACACCCGCACACGCACCCGCACCCGCACTCGCACACGCACACGCACACGCACACGCACGCGGACACGCACCTGCACACGCACACCCACATACACACAAGACACAACACACACAACCACACAACACACAACACACACACACACAACACACACAACACACACACACACACACCACACACAGGAACACACACACACATTCACCACACACAATCACCACACACACACTTTTTGCGTCGGCGGCTGGGCAGAGGTCGACTGCTCCTGCTCCGGCGGATAGGCAACAGGGGACACGCTGTATGCAAATTGGGGTCGCAATGCACGGAAGGAAGAGGAGGAGCCCTGGCGCGACGGGGAGAGAGGAAGCCGGGCCACTCAGAGCTGCCGGCAGCGGCGGGGGGAGCGCCGGGGCGGAAGCAGCGCCGGCACAGGCTGTACTGAACTGCGCTGAGCTTTCTGTTGTTCCCATCGTACTGAAAGACCACATCCCAGAAATAATTTCGAGCACCCGGAAAATTGTCGAAACAGTGTCGAAACAGTGTCGGACGAGTGTCTCCCAGGGCCCGACACGTGAACACCCTCGAATTTCGGTACTGTCATGGTGCTCGAAATTCTTTCTGGTGATCACGGCTGAAGTAGGCTGGAACATCATAAACTGAGCTGAAGCTGGGGGGGGAGCCAGGAGCTGCAGCTGGTGGTGAAGTGGAAACGAAGCGTAGCCACGGTCCAGGGAGGGGCCAGGGAGGGGCCAGGGCACCGAGGCATACTTACATACACACACATACACTTACTTACACTTACACACACACACTTGCACACACTTGCACACACTCTCACACACACGCACGCACGCACGCACGCACGCACGCACGCACGCACACACACACACACGCTTACACACACTTACACACACTTAAACACTTTCACACTTTCACACTTACACTCTTACACACTTACACACAGACTTACACACACACACTTTCACACACAAGCACACTCACACAAACACACACACATACACACAAATATGCAACACATCCCAGGATTCCCCAAATAATTACTCGTGTATATATAAACACACACACACATATATATACACAAACATATAAATACAAGGCTGCATAGGCGCGTCGCGCCATGCATCTTGTTCCTTGAAGCTTTGGATCGGCTGGCTTCTCGCGGTATCCTGCGGTCCCTTCGAGGGGTCCTCGCGGGCTCGCATTGCGAATGTGCAGAGGTTGCGGAGGGGGAGTGGGAGAACTTGGTGTTCGAAGCAACGAAAGGGGCAAATGGAATGCAAGAGAAGGACTTCAGAGGGAAACTTATCGAATCCCGGGTTCGCAACCAAATTTCTTAAAAAAGGGTGCGAACCCAGGATTCTGACCAGAATGCAGCTTTATACTGCAAAATATGAGGCAGGGGGGGCGCGGGGAGGCGTGCTGACGCGACTTTGGGACAGGCAGGCTCTACGAACGTTATGTATGGGCTTCGTTCTCACCTTCCTCTTTGGACGGAGAGCGCTAATTTTCGCGCTCGGAGGCTGCGATCCTCGTGAGGGGTCCCGTTTCCGGAAGTCCCGGTTGGGGAGGATCCTATTTCGGGGGGGGGTTTTCCCACCCCCCAGGATTATAAAGGCCTTCTTCGGAGAACTCGTGGAGGTTCTTAGAGGCCTTGTGGGGCGTCGTGGGGGAACTTCGTGAATGCTTCTTGGCGGCTCTTGGGCGCCTCGTGGCACGTCTGGGGAGCCGTTGAGGAGTCTTGGAGCTTCGTGTGGGCGTCTGGGTGCAGAGTCCTTGAAATCATAAGCCTTTTGCGCGCCTTGTGGCCCTTCTTGTGGCCTCCTGGAAGTGGCTTGGGGCCTCGCGTGGCCGTGTGGGAGCCGAGCGCGTTGCAATTGTATGTTTTTTCTTTTTAAGCTCTCTCTGAAGCTTGTCTTGGGGCTCTCTGGGGCCGTCTTGGGCACGGCTTGGGCCGTCTGGAGGCTCTGTTGGGCCGGCTGTGGACTCGCTTGGAGGCTGCTTGGGCCCTCTGGGATTGGTCTTGTGGGCGTCTTCGGCCGTCTTGGCACGTCGGAACAGTGAACATGCAACGAAGCCAAAATCTTAGGAAAGCCATAGGAAATTAATGATTTTGATCTCTTGGGGCCTTCTTCAGAGAACTCTGCGAGGTTCGTGGGGCCTTCTCAAGCTGTCGGGGGAACCTTTAAGAAGCTTTTAAGGCAACCCGAGGACCCTCGCGTACCCTCGTAGGTGCCTCTTCGGACGAAGATCGCTCAGTTTCGCGCTGGAAGGCTGCGATCCTCGTGAGGGGTGCCGTTTCTGAAGGCCGTCTTGGGGCTCTCTGGGGCCGTCTTGGGCACCCCTTGGGCCGTGTCGGGGCTGTCTTGGGCCGGTTTCGGACTCGCTTGGAGGCCTCTTGAGCCGTCTGGCATCGGTCTTGTGGGCGTCTTCGGCCGTCTTGGCACGTCGGAACAGTGAACATGCAAAGAAGCAGAAATCTTAGAAAAACCATAGGAGATCACTGATTTTCATCTCTCGGGGGCTTCTTCGGAGGACTCTGGAAGGCTCTTGGGACCCTCTTGGGCCTTCGTAGGAGCCTCGAGACAGCCTCTCGGGAGGTCCAAGGAGCCTCGCGTGTTCTCTCACCTTCCTCTTTGGACGGAGAGCGCTAATTTTCGCGCTCGGAGGCTGCGATCCTCGTGAGGGGTCCCGTTTCCGGAAGTCCCGGTTGGGGAGGATCCTATTTCGGGGGGGGGTTTTCCCACCCCCCAGGATTATAAAAATATAGAAAAGGGAATAAATAACAAAAATGTGTAGGGATGGGGAACCCAGAAAAAGCGCACCCCCCCTCCTAACGAACTTGGCCTACCCTGGGCCTTTCGGGCAACCCTCCAGACAACCAGACGACCCAGCAGAACCTCACGAGAACCCGAAGACGGCTCCAGAGGGCATCAAGCGTTCCGGCGCGCTCCCGAAACGACCCCAGAGAGCCCCAAGACGGTCCACGACGACCCCAAAGAAGCTGTCATACCCCCAATTTCGCTCCAAAACGCCCCAAGAGGCCTCCAAGACCACTCCCAAGAAGGTCCCAAGAGGCAACATTCATTGATTTTCTGTTGGTTCTTGGTAAATTTTGGGGTTCTCCTCTTTTCGGCTTCCTGGCGCTCCAAGACGGCAATCTTCGGGGCGTCCGAAGCCGCTTGGGAGGCCCGAAAATCGCCCCACAACCATACGGAAATGCTTCCAGGCAGTCCATGAGAGCCCCAAGACGGCACAACATGTTCCAAGATGGCCTAAGAGAGCCCCATGACGGCCCAAGATGGCCCCAAGACGCCCTCCGAAGCATTCCAAATCGTGACCCGGTTGTTCGGGGAGACCGCGGTTGGAGGCAGGGTGGTCCGAGGAAGTCCCCAGAGGCCCCCAGAAATTGTTGTGAGGCCCCCAGAGGCTCTCCAAGGAGGAGCCTCCACACAAAGAGCTGCGGAGGATGGGGAGAATGCGCAGGGTATGGCGAGACTGGGGAACAATAAGCATGGAAGAAAAATAGCACGAACAACATTACGATAACGGCGATGCCGGAAAAGGCAACAAGGAATTATCGCTAAATTGTCGGCTTGACCTTCCTGCCATTCCGCCTGCATACCAAACTTCAAGGACCAAGGTGCATGGCGCGAAGCGCCACTGCAGTCTTGTCTGTATATATATATATATATAACATATATATGTGTGTTTCGTCTTCCCCCCACCCACACTTCCCCCCACTTCCCCCACACTTCCCATAGTTCGCCATCTTTTCCCGAGGATCGAAGATCCATTGTGTCTGCGTGCTTTTGTCCCCTCCCGATCCTGGGCGTCCGCCCAAGGCAGGCGGCGGAGCCGCTCGTCTTCCATGCGCAGAGGACCCTAAAGCGTCGTCAGCTTTCGGAGGAGGAGCAGGCACCGATACTGCTACCCTTCACCAAATGTCCCCGTTGTCGGCCTCCTGAGAGGCCCTCGTCGCCACCGCTGGATTCGCTTCGAAATTCTGGTCGGAACGCACCCCGGAAAGGGTCCAGGGATTAGCGGTATCGGTACCTCTCGATTTCCCTAAGGTGTAGCTTTCGGGTGGATGTGTCCTCCCACAGGGGGATCTGGGCTAAAACGTACAGCATAGTCAGAACATACTCAAGCACGGGCAAACATAGAGGACACATCGTCCCCGGACTGTGTTTCAAAACTACGGCCGGACCTAGAACAGAAGAACATGTTTCAAGAACTTGAGACCCTCCGCCGACCAAGCTGAAGAACATTCGAGGTTACCCTCGCCCAAGATACACAAGAACATCCGACAACCACGAAGAACATTAGGGCACCCTCCCCGAACCGACCTCGATCTTATACCTCGGTCCGACCGTATGTGTTTGAATCTTCCCCCCTGTAGGGGGACAGGCCCGACGTGAGATGAGCTGCCCCGGCACGCCGCACACATACAGCACGCAGCGCGTGGCGGCACGGAGCTCCGCGCGCCGGGCCGAAGGCGCGCGGCCTCGCCAGGACGTGGGCCCCGGCCATCGCTCGGACGTCGACTCCCCGTGTTTTTTTTTGTCGCTTTCGCGCGTGGCTTTTTTCGCCAAGTGATCAAGGATGCTCCTCGATTGGAGGGATGAAAAAACGACGCTACCCTGGGTTACAAGTGCGCGGTCTGTAAACCTCCTGGGACCCCCCAGAGCCTGGAGACGCCAGGACGCGGCACATCACGCAGGGATTACCCTGTCAGCCCACCTGAGCTTCGGCGCACAGCGCCTCGTGAACCAGGGCAGGGGCGTTTTTTTATGCCCTTGATCGATGGTCCTCGCCGGAAGAAGAATGCACACGTCCGAGCGATGCCAGGGGGCCAGGGCGTGCCGAGCCGCCACGCGGCGTGGCACGGGCGGAGGCCAGGCCGCGAGAGAGTCTTCCACCGCTGGAGGCCTGGAAACTTGCCGTCGCTCGGACGCCCATCTCCTGTGCATTTGTCGGCTTCGTGCGTGTTTTTGTTGCTCGATGGTCCAGGATGGTCTTCGATGGTTCTCGCCGAAGAAAAAATGCACACGTCCGAGCGATGCCAAGGAAGTGGGCACCAACGCCAGACCAGGGGGCTGCCTCCACGGGGGGAAGGTGATCCTAGATGTCGGTGTTGGTGGTCCTAGTTCGGTCACCTTGGAAGCCAGAATACTACCACCAGCACCGGGATCGGGATCGTCCTCCCTCGGCGGAGGCACGCCGCCGATACTGGTAGTGGTGTCGACCTCTGGGCCTGCGGCACACGACACCCAAACCTGAGACCCCAGGACGTCCATGGATTTTTTTTTGGTGCGGGAACGTCACTGTACTCCAACTTTTATAATAAAAGGGGGGGTCACAAACCTCCCAGACGAGCCATTTTAGACCCCCCCCGTCTGGGGCGACCTCCATCAAAAAGTAGCCCCCCCCAGGACGTGCCAAGACGAGACGATCCAGACCCCCCCAAGAAGGCAACCTCGGCGAACGAAACGACAGACCCCCCCAGGACCTCACCGAAGCCAGCCCCCGCGCCCAAAATGGCAGACCCCCCCCCGTTGTAACTGCGGGACGACGGTCGAAAAATCAGGACGCCAACCCATGGCGGAACCAGCAAGACCCGAGAAGCCCAGGGCACCCTGGAGGCAAGCAGGGCGCCTCTTGGCAGGGGCCTCCACCGCAGCACGGGCGCTCCGGCCACGGCACGTGCGGCGCCTCGCACACGGGCGCACCACGGCAGCCGAGGTCGCGCGCGCAGCCTCGGAAGTCCGCGCGGAGCTCTTCGGGTCGGCGCTGGGCCTCCGCCGGCCCGAGCGTGAGGTCGGGCCTGTCCCCCATTCAGGGGGGACTCTGGACGAACCATAAAAAGAATGCAGTAGGGGTCTTGAAGAAGGAACCTTTTTCGTTGGGGAGGGGCTCGGTGTTCCTTCAGTGTTCCACAGTTTACCTCAGGCTTTCCTTATGTCGTCGATGGGAAATCGAAGTTTAACTTGTGGAAAAAAGGAGCCTCGTTCCTTATTTAGGGTTCCTTAGGTCAACGCCCCGACGGTACAGTACCCCAACAATGCTCCCGAATGGTCAAACAAACACGGTAAAACAAAACATCGTCCCCAGAGTACTCTCTGACTGTTTTGACTGCTCCCCCTGTAGGGGGGCAGGCCCGACTCAGCCCAAGCGCCGACGAACACAACTGCGCGCGGACCTCCGAGGCAGTGTGCGGCGCGCCCCAGGCGGAAGGCAGAGGGGGGCTGGCCTGGTAAGGAGGCGCGGGGGCCCCTCCCGCCCTCTGGGACGCGCCCTCCGGGGCTTCCCCGTCGAGAGGGCATCTTGGAAGGAGGAGCCCCCGTCGAGAGGGCTTCCCCGTCGAGAGGGCTTCCCCTCCGGGAAACTTCTGAAATGCCCCCCCCCCCCGCCCCCCCCCCCCAGGAGGAGGAGGAGGTGGGGGAGGAGGAGGAGGCGGAGGCGGAGGCGGGGGAGGCAGAGGCGGAGGCGGGGGAGGCGGAGGCGGGGGAGGCGGAGGAGGAGGAGGAGGAGGAGGAGGAGGAGGAGGAGGAGGAGGAGGAGGAGGAGGAGGAGGACCCCGCAAGCTCTCCAGAAGCTAACAAAATCATGGCGCTTTTGCTCTGCCCCCGCTCGGCGCGACGCGCCGACGAAAGCTGACGCTCACGACGCTTCTTTGCCCTCTGATCGAGTCGCCTCCTCTCGCCTGCGCCGCCACGGGGTACCTGTCCGCGCCCCAGCGCTGGGCAGGCCGGGGCCTGCCGAGGTGCCAGGGGGCCGGGCGCGCCAGCGGACGCGGGCGGCCGTAGCCATGGAAGGGCCAGCTGGGGGCATCCATCTGGAGGAGGCAGCCTCGCGCGGACTCTGCCACGGTTTGTGCCAGCAGGAGCTCACCAGTGGGGGCTCAGGAACTGCGAGCGGGCACGCGCGAAGCAAGCCCCACCGGTGAGCCCCTGCCGCTCCGAGCCGATGGGCGGTAAGGGGCAGGGCTCACACGTGGCTGCCCTATCGTGGGCGCCGCGGCGGCAACAGCCCGGCGGCCTCGACGGATTCGCGGGAAGCTCGAGCACGCACGCGCCTTCTTCTCTCGTCCAGAGGCTGAGTGGGCGAGCGCCGAAAGCAACACTTCCCTTCGCGGATGGTCAGAATCGAAGATGCGAAGACTAGCGTCACGGAAGGCTAGACAGACAGCACAACCGCTTTTGATGCGCTGCGCCTTCGACAATATGATCCACGACAGCGTGCGAGGAACGAGCAGCCTGATGGTGGAGTTCATCGGGGTATTTGGCTGAGAAACTTCCCTGCCCTTGCACGAGACTGGTTTTCAAAGTTATCCCTCTTACGTATTCCAGTGGTTGACAAATCCATTTCCATGGGTCTCATTGTCTGTATCATGCTCAGTTTCACAATAGAATTTCCAATGAACTCCTATACCGGATGCACAACAGTTCGGGTGGTAAAACGACTTGTAGGTGGATGGGTGGGATAATGTGCAGCATTAGGTTTGTCATTGTCTTCGCGTCGGGTTGGCAATACCTCTCTCTATATATGTATACAAAAACATAGAGAGACATCATTCCGCCACCGTGCAGTATGCACTAAGTGGGGTGTCCTCAGGTCCCTTCGAATTCTCTGTTTTGAAAAGGATCTCAAATTCTTCAAGGGGCCCAGACCCCCGACAGCCTGATCTGTTGGAGCTTGTCCAGTGACTCTGGGGCGCACCGCGTGACTTTCCCCCAAACCGGCAATCATTCAAATACAGTGCCTCTTCTCAATGTTTTCGGCCCCAGACAAGGGGAATCCGAACTGGCCCCCCACACACCCTCGTGTGCCAAAATGATCCCGAGACCTCCAAAAGGCTTTCAAGAGGCCTCAAAGAATCCACGAGGCCCCCAAGAGGCCCGAAGAAGCATCCACGAGGCTCCCATCAAGCATCCCAAGAGACCCCAGAAGGCATCCGAGATGAGTTTGACCCACAATCCAGGAACGGTGGCAGGCTTCCTGCCTAGTTTGCAATCGATCCACATGTATACATACATGTATGTACACATGGCCGCGCCCATTTTGCAGCGTTGAAAATTTGCGGCAATCACACGCCCGTGTTGGCGGGCATGTTGTGTGAACCCTTGAGGGAAGCCTCGGGTGGAGCCCTCGGGTGGAGCCCAACGGGGCTGGTGTGAACCCATGTTGGCCCCGTGACCCCACGGAGCTATGTGACCCCGTGTTGGCTTTGACCACCGCTCCAGTACAGAGCCCTTGTGACGCGAACAAAATGGATGCGGCACATGCATCTCTGCATTTGTACTGGGTAAGCACGCGTGCTTCGCAAGTCCTAGACCTTGACAAGCCCACAGCCTAACACATGTAAGTACATACCCACAAATGGCTTGGACATTGTACGAACGCGGGCCAAACAGATACGTGTGACCGACGAAAGCAAACACCATACATATTCAGTGCGAAACAATGCGAAACAATGCGAAACAACGCGACGAATGCGCAATGGTAGTGCCATGCAAAACCAGTGCTTTTGGAAACAAAAAACAAGGAAGTGGACCGTGTTGTGCGGTCTTGGGGCCCTCTGATGCCGTGTTAGGTAGTCCCCTTTGGCTCTGGGCCAATCTAGGGCCACCTTAGGACCTTCCTGGGGCTACCTCTTCCTCCTCCTCGTCCATCCGTCCTTCCGCAAACGTTCCTTGAAGGTCCCGGAAAGCCAGCATGCCTGATTCGTGCGGTCACCCCGTTACTACCGCACTGCACTGATCTCGGCGGCAAGGCGACCAGGAGAGGAAAGAGGAGGGAGGTGGAGGAGTGGAGGGAACGGATGCCGAGGCACGTGGGATGGGGAAGAGGGGGAGCACAGGGAAGAAGGACTGATGGAGGAAGGGCGAGGGAAACGCTACTCCGCCGCCGCTGTCCCTGCTCCCGCCCGCTACCCAGCCGCCTGGCCTTACAGAACTTGCAGTAGGAGGGGAGAACCGGGGGGAGGAGAAGGTCGACGGAGGACGGGCGTGGAGAACGGGCGAGGGAGGACGCATTGGGGAAGAAAACAAGCTGGCCGCGCCCGCGCAACATCTGACATTCTAGCCCGTTCGCACACTCCCGCCAATTGCGTTCAATACTTCCCTGTCCGCCGAAACGGTGTGTCCCAGAGGACCTTGATCCCAGATACCCCAGATGGCAGGCGCACGACTTGAGCAACAGGGGGGGGGCACTGGAGCAGAAGAAAGAATCCAAGTTCAGAGGAGACCCCGCAGAAGGGCCCAAGCATCCTCGCCACGGTGCCCGCCCAGAATCACTTGCGTCTGGCATGGGCCCGCTGCCGATCACGAACTCCTGCGCGCCCGCGAGGATGGAACCAGATCCAGAAGTGCGGCCCGCGCTTGGGCGAGAGCGTCACTCTAAATGACGGGAACAGAACACCAATCCTGAAAGGTTGCCAATGCTCTGGCGGGAGCACCACATTCGAAGGACCAGTTTTGGCAAAACAAAAAGACACAGGAAAGAGCAACAGCAACACACGGGAAATAACAACTGGGATTCCGCGATGCGGACGATGCGGATTATTACTATTATTTCGTTTTTTTGAACTCCCACAGCTGAATGATAAATATTGTTGACCCCCCCGTCGTGACCATTGATTTTTTCAATTGAAGTGCTTCCCCTGGGGCCCGCACCCTGATTATCAGGGAAAAACACGGGGTCAAACTATACCGTTGGCCCCTCGGTTACAACAACAACGGCTCCCGCCTGAGACTTTTTCGACATTTAGCCAGGACCTCCGCTGCCGCCTGAGACTTTCTCGCATTCTGCTCAGGAATCGCTCTTTCGCCTGGGACTTCCTTATAATTTAACAAGGGATCGGCCTTTCGGCGCTCTGGAGTCGCGCTCTCGCCGGCCGCGCCCCAGGCATTGAGGCACCCAAGAATCGCGGTCACGCCTAGGACTCCCTCACAGCTTACATAGGAATCGGGATATCGGTGCCCTTCGTGGCCCCGTTGCAGCCCTTCGTGGCCTCCTCGCTGCCCTTCGTGGCTCCGGTGCAGCCCTTCGTGGCCCCTCGCTGCCCTTCGGTGCCCCCTTGCAGCCCTGCGTGGCCCTCTCGCTGCCCTTTCGTGGCCTCGCTGCAGCCCTTCGTGGCCCCCTCGCTACCCTTCGTGGCCCCGTTGCAGCCCTTCGTGGCCCAGTTGCAGCCTTTCGTGGCCCTCTCGCTGCCCGCTGTGGCCCCATATGCATTCCCTTCGTGGCCCCGTTGCAACCTTTCGTGGCCCCATATGCATTCCCTTCGTGGCCCCGTTGCAACCCTTCGTGGCCCCCATCGCTGCCCTTCGTGGCTCCGTTGCAGCCCTTCGTGGCCCCCTCGCTGCCCTTCGTGGCCCCGTTGCAGCCCTGCGTGGCCCCCTCGCTGCCTTTCGTGGCCCCGTTGCAGCCCTTCGTGGCCCCGTTGCAGCCCTTCGTAGCCCCGTTGCAGCCCTTCGTGGCCCCCATCGCTGCCCTTCGTGGCTCCGTTGCAGCCCTTCGTGGCCACCCCGCTGCCCTTCGTGGTTCCGTTCCTTTGTGGCCCCCTCGCTACCCTTCGTGGCCCCGTTGCAGATCGCGCTATCGCTGGAGACTTCCTCGCGATTCATGCAGGACGCACGCTTCAACAACTCGCTTGCTCGACCTGGCCGCCTGGGCCCGCCTTCCCGACCCGCCCGTCAGGGCCTATCCGCCCGATGTGCCCGTCTGGTACTGCCACTTGTTTCCTGCTCCAAGCCCCCCTTCTACTGCATTGTCTCGTGCTCCATCAACATCCATCCCCCTTTGTCTCTTACTTCCCCCCGTCCTCCATTCCTCAGCCTCAGGGGCTGCACGAAATACGCGCTGCAGATGAAAAAGAGATACCTCCAAGGGGGCACGATCGAAGAGTAAGAGGGCGATATACGTATTGCATCGCACGCGAGCAGATAAGAGCGATCAGTCTTGAATGATGGTTGCTCTTGCTGTTGTTGTGGCTGTTGTTGTTGTTGCTGTTGTTGTTGTTGTTGAGCTCTCACTACTGAATAATGAGTCTTGTTGTTCCCCCCTCCGGTGACCATGGTGTTTTTCAATTAAAATGCTCCCTCCGGGGCTCGCACCCTGTTTCTGTATCAAGGAAAGTCACGGGGCTCAAGCTGTGTTTGTGGCTCCCAGATTACAGCAACAACGGCTCCCGCCTGAAACTTCCTCACAGTGGCTAGGACCCCCGCTCCCGCCTGAAACTCCCTCGCATTTTTCTCAGGAATCGCGCTCTCGCTGGGGATTTTCTTATACTTCATGAAAGGATCGCTCTCTCGGCGCTCTGGAGTCGCGCTCTCGCTGGAGACTCGATTGCAATATACTAAAGAATCGCGCCCTTGCGTTAGAAATCCCAGCAATTTCCTCAAGCGCCGCGCTCCCGGCACTCAGGCACCCAGGACTCGCGCTCACGCTTAGAACTCCCTCACAGCTTACTAAAGAATCGGGATCTCGCTGCCCTTCGTGGCCCCGTTGCAGCCCCTTCGCTGCCCTTCGTGGCCCCGTTACAGCCCTTCGTGGCCTCCTCGCTGCCCGTCGTGGCCACGTTGCAACCCTTCGTGGCCCCCTCGTTGCCCTTCGTGACCCCGTTGCGACCCTTCGTGGCCCCCTCGCTGCTGCCCCTCGAGGTCCCGTTGCAGCCCTTCGTGGCACCCTCGCTGCCCCTCGTGGCCCCGTTGCAGCCCTTCGCGGCCCCCGCTTGTTCCCGCCCGTCGTGGCCCCATCTGCGTGCGCTTCGTGGCCCCGCTGTCGCCCTTCGTGGCCCCCTCGCTGCCCTGTGTGGCCCCGCTGCAACCCTGCGTGGCCCCCTCGCCGCCCTCTGCGACCCAATATACGCATGCCCTGCGTGGCCCCCGCTGGTTCGTGCCCGTCGTGGCCCCGTGCGCGTGCCCTTCGTGGCCCCGCTGTCGCCCTTTGTGGCCCTCTCGCTGCCCTACGTGGCCACGTCGTTGCCCTCTGTGGCTCCGCATCATCTGCCTTTCGTGGCCCCCGCTCGTTCGCGCTCTTCGCGGCCCCATGCGCGTGCCATTTGTGGCCCCGCTTTCGCCCTTCGTGGCACCCTTCGTGCTCTTCGTGGCCCCGGTGTCGCTCTCGTTCTCGCTCTCGCTCTCGCTCGTCGTCGTCGTCGTCGTCGTCGTCGTCGTCGTCGTTGCGCCCCCGCCCCCGCCGTCGCTGTCGCCGTCGTCGTCGTCGTCGTCGTCGTCGTCGTCGTCGTCGTGGTCGGTCCCGTGTCCATCCCTCGT